AAGGGATTCACGATCAACTGAGTCGAAGGCTCCTTTTAGGTCAAGGAACACGACAACCGTTGATCGACGGTGCGTATGGTGTAGCTCGATGAATTGACGCGGGGTGAAGATTTGATCGATACAACCGCAACCTGTTCGAAATCCTGCTTGTTGTTCGCGGATGTTTGTCTCCCTCAACGGTGTCAGATGTCGAAGCATAACGGAGGCTATTAACTTGGTGACGATTGGGATCAAGCTTATTCCACGTTGGTTTGCGCAGTCATTTCGAGATCCCTTCTTAAAAATTGGAACGATCAGTGATCCGCTCCAGGATGATGAAATGCGCTCGTGTGACCATATGTTACGCATTAAATCAGTAATGCGTCTCCAAGGTCATCACCCCCCATCTTGAAAAGAGTGGGAGAAAGCCTATCTGGCCCTGCTGCTTTTCCTTTATTCAGGGCTTGGATGCAACAACGAACTTCTCTTGCAGTCGGGGGTTCAGATGACACTGCTCACGGAGCCTCAGCTACATCAGAGGAGATTGCCTAGTTAGCGCCTAGCCAGCTGAACTGTTCGTTGAAGTACTCTGCCCATCGGTCAAGCCGTTGTTCCCTATTGTGAATAGCTTGCCCACTTTTGTCGCAGATTGTTTCGCTAACTGTGGTTCTCCGACCTCCAGTGTTGCGTATCAGTTGGAACACTCTCTGACTATTCCCTTATGCAGCCGCTACTTCCATTTTATTAGCTATCACCAGTTCTCACAGTCTTTCTTGAGGCTCCTCATGAGATGACGTTGTAGACGCCATCTAACCCTGCCTTGATCCCGGGTGGTTGGGATGTACCGCTTTTTCTCCATCAGTGCTACTGACTCATCAGATATCTAACGTCTCGGGCGGGCTACTACTTCAGATCCACAGGCAACGTTCGCTGCGGAGTGCATTGCTCGGCTAATCTGATCCCATTGTTCATTTACACTACCAACCCGCAGTGCGTTTATCTCTTGCCCTAGTTCTGATTCAAAACGGGCACGAACGGCTGGGTCAGATAAGCGATGATCTGCCAATCGAGTTTGTCGGAATTTTCTGCGACCAGTGAGTTGGAGAATGAACTGCATCAAAGCTAACGCATGAACAGATTCAATGCAGGTGATCCAATAGGACCTGCTGTTTTGTACTGAGCCACGCCAACGGTAGCTTACTGCTATGTGGTCGATCTGAGTTAGCGTGCCAGTTGAATTTGAGCGCCACGTTGATGTCCGTTGAGAGCTGTGTCGGAAGTTGGTTCTGGATAGGAATAAATGATGATCTGCACAGAACTGAAGAAGTCGATCGCAATTATGTGTTCGCTGGCAGGGTAGTGCACAATGACCGCCTAGGCAAGCTTCCGATGCGCTCAGTTTTCCGACTTGAGCGTTGAAATCACCTGAGAGAGCAAGTATGTCGGAGCTTCGACTCAACCGAATGAGTTCGATGAGTTTATCATAGAACTTGTCTTTTTGTGCTTCGGAACTGCAGTTGTCAGATTGGTCTGAAATGACTTGAGATAAGACCACATCATATGTAAAGGTTTTGGCTGGTGGGATAAAGACTGTTGAATATTGAAAATAATTATGGAGAAACCATAACATCCCGAATTATTCACTAAAGGCTTTGAAGTAGTGCCGTTTGCTTTCGTTCTTTGGATCCTTCCTGTGAACTAGTCTTTCAGTCACGACAATGAACTGGTAGAGCAACGGAATGATCGTAACATTCCGAGAAGAAGAGATTACGGAACGGAATCAAAAGCGGAAGAATAATCAAGAGAAACACAACAAACGGA